ACCGCGCTCAGCCAGTGAGCACACCGGCCATCCCTATATAGGATCCGAACCTGTGGCCGGAGTGCCGCTGCGCACCCAAGCGCCGCACTCTCCCAAATGCGCCACGCGGCCAGGCCTTGAATACTTTTTGCTAGATACAGTATGTCCTGATTAGCAGAGAGTAGGATTATTACTTCTCAGAATTTGCACACTGCCTTTATATAATGTAAGATTTTATTAGCATTTTAGCTCTCATTTTTCTCTTTTGCTTTTTATCAAATTCAGTCTGATGTCCAACTTCTCAGATCATTGATCATTTACATGTCCTTATATAACTAACAGGTAGACAATTTTTTAACTGAAATGCCTTCCATTTATCCCAGTTTGATTGTCTTACACATTTTTAGAAAAGTTTTGACATAATCTCATAGAAAAATTCCACGTACAGCACAAATAACATTTTTTTCGTGAATCATTTGAAGTAAATCACCAACATGATGCCACATCACCCTCAACACTTTACTGTGTATTTCCTACAAACAAGGATATTCTCCTGTTTAGCAACAAAACAACCATCAAAGTCAGGAAATTAACATTGTTATTCCTATTAATGCTTAGACCCCATTTATGTTTTGCCAGTTCTCCAAGTATGTGTTTTATTGTAACCATTCAAATTCAGAATCACATATTGCATTTAATTGTCATGTCTCTTTAGTCACATTCAAACTGGAGGAGCTCTTCAGTTCTTTGACCTACATAATCTTGACACTTTGGAAGATTTTAGACCAGTTATTTTGTAAAATATCCCTCAATTTGTGTTAGCCTGATGTTTACTCAGGATGAAATTCAGGTTATGCATCCTCAGCTGTGACATAACAGAAACAACACTGAGTTCTCATTTCATCCTATCTGGTACAATATCATCCTACATGATTTTGATTTGTCCCATAACTGATGAGGTTAACTTTGATCACTAGATTAAAATGGTGTTTTTAGGCTTCTCCCTGTACAGCTACTCTTTTCCATATATAATTAACAAGTGTTTTATGGGGAGGTATTTTGAGACTATGTCAAAAATTCCATATATCAAACATTTATTATTTACTTATTTAGTTATACCAGTATGAACTCAGGGCCTCCTACTTTATTTAGCGAATGTAATTTGTTATTATCACTATTTATATTGATGCTCAAAATGTCCCAGATTTGGCCACTTAGAGCCACTTCAGTCAGGCTTCTTCATCCTTTTGACATATCCCTTCTATCTTTGAGCCCTTCCTTTCTTTCTATCTACATTTAGTCTTCTTTGCTTCAACAGCATTTCAGGTCATTTAGATTACTTTGAATCTTGATTCTGCCACTTATAATATTAACTTCTCATCCCAAATAACAAGCATCTCTTCTATTTCTTTATTCAAGTCATGGATCAATGAGTTGAGACCAAAGAAAGGGCCCTGATGTGCTGTTCCAGAGACTACCTTCCAGATCAAGGGTCCTCAGTGAATTACTTAGGATTTTGTAGTATGTTTTGAATACTATCTGATTGATCTTCAAGCCACTTGCTACTTCCAAGTCAAAGTCACTACCAAGCCAAAGACCAGCATGCTCTTCTTGGCATTTCAGCCATCTCCTTCCTGAAATAAAATAATTTGTTAGCATTCTTAATGGGGAGAAGAGATGAACAGAACCAACACCTCTGTTCTCCACACTGATTTACAGGCAGTCTCCATCCCCAGTTGATCCCAGGGCTTAGGGAATATGTACCTTCTATTCACCCCATTGCTAGTAGGATTTTTACTTACAGCCAACTTGGTGATATCAAAGATTGATGGGTAGGGGAACAATTTAGTTCCTGCTACACATTATCTGCACAATAATGATATTGCTCAACTGAGCAAATTAATAAATAATTAAAGATAATTTAAATAAATTAATGCAAACTTTAAATGGATCTAGTTGCTCAACTGTTTGTGAGTACCCCATGGAAGAGTCTACAAAGCCAAAAATCTGAATTCCAGTGTAGAACTTACAGCTGTAAAACTTGAGAAAGCCATCAAGTTATTCTGTGTTTATTTGTTTGGGGGCTTTTTTTGTTAATTAGAACACCCCTAGCTGCTCCGCAGAGTTGTGGAAGCTAGAGAAGAACAGGTAAATGAAAATTTTCTGTATTGTATTAATAGTTATTAAAGTGTAAGATCATTATTCTTATCCCAAATTACAGTGCTATCATACAGTTGATTTTCCATTATTTTATAAGAAAAGAATCATGGACAGATTTTTCAAATACTGTCATTCCTAAGCTATTTGCCTAATGCTGATCTTTTTTAAAAAAAGAAAATGAAGCTAACTTGGCATGACTTTTCTCCTTGACCCTGATTGATTTGTTCTTTTTGAAATACTAAAAAATCATCTATTAAAAAAAAATCATTTTCAGATTTTTCTGGGATCACATAAGCCTTACTATCTGGTTTACAAATCCTTCTTTTCTTTAATTAGAAAGTTAGAACAGATTTTCTTCTCAAGACTTCTGGCATCTCTCCTCTGCTCCTTGATTTCTTGAAAATCGCTAATACTAACTCTTAAAAAGAATAGAGAATTAGACAGCCCCTGCTGTTCAGTAGTCAGTTTCACAGCCTGATGGGGCAGTTTGAGAGAGTTTGGGGAGAATACCACAACTTCTCTATATTTCTATTTTCGATATATACAAAAATAACCCAAAGAATCTGACTTCTCACTGTTGTAGTAAGGGCTAAATACAATAATGCTTATGAAGGAAAGTCTAAAAAATTATAAAACTTTATACTACGTAAAGATATGTTAGTGACACAAAATTAAAACTCGGATAACAATAGTAAAAGCTATCATATATTAAATGTTCTCTCCTCACTAGACTCTGTGTTCTCTCCTGATGCACACCACAACCCAGTATGTATTACTGTTCCTCTTTTATAGATGAAGAGACTGAGAATCAAGAGGGATTAAATACCGCCCAAAGTCATTCTGACAATAAGCAGTGGAGAAAATTTAAATCCAGGTCTATCTGATTCCAAAACCTATATCCTTAATCCACACTTCACATTTCATCCTAAATTCCCTCCCATTTAGCCCCAGTGGCTGGAATTCATCTAAGCAGGATCTGCCCTGAGAATCTCTCACCTGCTATGAGCTGCTGGCCAAGATTTATGCTGTTAGTTCTTAATTTTCCAATTAAAAAACGACTCTACTTTCTGGAGAATACAGAAACCACGTAGTTGATTAATAGCTCTGAACTCTTATTTATCAGCTAACGCTACACCATCTTCTGAAAGCAGCAGATCTCTTCCTTCCTTCTTTTTTTCTGCAAACATGTCCTGTATTTCACATTTTTCATAAGCCTCAGTTCCTTTTGCCTTCTCACCAGTAGGTGCCAAGACCAATTTAGTTAGAAAGGCTTGACTTGGTTCACCTTTCAATGAATTGAATAGGCATATTACTGGTAAAGTACATTTTCTGAATAAGGTAATTATTTAGTTAATAACTTGTTCCCATGAATCCTTTCCCAAATATATTGACCCATGCAAATTTCTTCTTTTTCAATTTCTGTCAAGTTTACTTGATAAGTGTTACCAATTTGTCGTGGACTTATGCAAAATTAGTAGTTTCACATGTGAATGTTTTGGATCCTGAACTGGATCAAAAATTATCGAGGACAGTAACGCTGCCTTCTGAATTTGTGCTTATTAATGCTTATGAAAATGCTTATTTCTTTGGGAGTTTATTACATTTTAAATGACCACAACTGTGATTACTGTGAAATTTTGACAGCTATATCATCAGCAGAGTAGACAGGGCTCATAGGAATGCTGCTTTGCAATAGGGACCAGATATCACTATAGCTCCTACAAAACCATCAGGGTGTGACTGACAGTTGCAATACACTATCATTTGAACACTTAAAAATAATTTACTCACCAGAGGTACATATAGCATATTGGCCTTTCAGGTTCAATCACTGTGGAAAATAGTTTTGTTTTTGACCTCATTATTTCGTAATTTGATTCCAAGAATATCTTCATATTTACCCTATATTTTCTGCAACCTTTATTTTCTTAGAATTTCTGTATTTTCTATTTTAAAAGTCTTTTTGAACTTATATAGTAACTACAGAATTAATCACTTTTAAAATGTCACGAACAGGCATATCTTGACCCAACTGAAAATTCATACAATTATGTGATGATAATTACTCCTGGAAAAAAGCCTTTGGCAAAATATCTTTGGAAAAAGAAAAATGCCAGAAATCAACATTCACTTAATTTTAACATATAGAGAGGATTACCATGTTTTCTTAGACTATATTATAATTGAACCTAACAAAAAAAAGAGAGAGACTGTAGGAAACATATGTAAGGACTCATTTCCTGCAGAGAAAAATGCAATCCTTAGCACTAGCTAAAATATTTACTCCAAAATAGTTTTTCAATAATAATGTATTGTGTAGTCAGAAATCTCTTTCTCTTTTCAGAGATCTAACAGGTTGGGGACTAAGTATGAAATATATTGTTTGACAGTTGGTCAGGAGATTTTTATATAATTTTTGCATGTATTTTTAGTACTTCAGAGTTAATTTGAAATAAATGATCTCAGAAAATGATTTAGTAGCTAATTGGAGGTCCTCGTGTTAAAAACAACTAATAATATTCTGATTCTGTATATTCTTTCTCTTATCTTGTTGGTTTCCTATCATATAATTAAAGATTAAAGTTTATTAAATTTAATTCTGTTATAAGAACTATAAAAAAACTTTGGCAGAGGTGGTGAAATTTTAGTTTCAAAAGTACTGATTTAGATTTGAATGTATTTCACATATTAAATTTGAAGCTAATTAAGGTAAGACTTTTAAGAGTGGAAATGTTAAATTGGTCATATATTATTTGGGATAAAGTTTATCTTCATAGAAATATTTTTAATATAGGAATCATTGTTTTATGTAGAATATCTCTTTAATCCTGCCCCGACAAAATTTTTACTCTTTTTTCAAGGTATCAGATACACACCGGACTTCAACATTCTATCATAAGACCTACCCAACCCAACTGTTTACCTCTGGATAATGCAACCCTACCTCAGAAGCTGAAGGAGGTTGGATATTCAACACATATGGTTGGCAAATGGCACTTGGGTTTTTACAGAAAAGAATGCATGCCCACCAAGAGAGGATTTGATACCTTTTTTGGTTCCCTTTTGGGAAGTGGTGATTACTATACACACTATAAATGTGACAGTCCTGGGATGTGTGGGTATGACTTGTATGAAAATGATAATGCTGCCTGGGACTACGACAATGGCATCTACTCTACACAGATGTACACTCAGAGAGTGCAGCAAATCTTAGCTTCCCATAACCCCACAAAGCCTATATTTTTATATATTGCGTACCAAGCTGTTCACTCACCATTGCAAGCCCCTGGCAGGTATTTTGAACACTACCGATCCATTGTCAACATAAATAGGCGGAGGTATGCGGCCATGCTTTCCTGCTTAGATGAAGCAATCAACAATGTGACCCTGGCTTTAAAGACCTATGGTTTCTATAACAACAGCATTATCATTTACTCTTCAGATAATGGCGGCCAGCCCACGGCAGGAGGAAGTAACTGGCCTCTCAGAGGTAGCAAAGGAACATATTGGGAAGGGGGTATCCGGGCTGTTGGCTTTGTACATAGCCCACTCCTGAAAAACAAGGGAACAGTGTGTAAGGAACTTGTGCACATCACTGACTGGTACCCCACTCTGATTTCACTGGCTGAAGGACAGATTGATGAGGACATTCAACTGGATGGCTATGACATCTGGGAGACCATAAGTGAAGGCCTTCGTTCACCCCGAGTGGATATTTTGCACAACATTGACCCCATTTACATCAAGGCAAAAAATGGCTCCTGGGCGGCAGGCTATGGGATCTGGAACACTGCAATCCAGTCAGCCATCAGGGTGCGGCACTGGAAACTCCTCACAGGAAATCCTGGCTACAGTGACTGGGTTCCCCCTCAGTCTTTCAGCAACCTGGGACCAAACCGGTGGCACAATGAGCGGATTACTTTGTCAACTGGCAAAAGTATATGGCTTTTCAATATCACAGCTGACCCATATGAGAGGGTGGATCTTTCCAACAGGTATCCTGGAATTGTGAAGAAGCTCCTGCGGAGGCTCTCACAATTCAACAAAACCGCAGTGCCTGTCAGGTACCCCCCCAAAGACCCCAGAAGTAACCCTCAGCTCAATGGAGGAGTCTGGGGACCTTGGTATAAAGAGGAAAACAAGAAAAAGAGGCCAAGCAAAAATAAGGCTGAGAAAAAGCAAAAGAAAATTAAGATGAAGAAGAAACAGCACAGAACAGGTTCATTTCCAAATTGCCATTCAGGTGTTACTCGTGGATAAGTACTAATGTTTCCTGTTTCGTTAAAAATAAATCAGTTTTTATGTTTCACCTGTTTTGTAGGTACACCAGCAAATTTGGATCAATAATATCACTGCCGTAAGCATCAGGCTTGTTTTATATGTGGTGGCACTTCAGAGATACCTGCCACCTGGCCACAACATGGAAAACTCTTCCACTTGGTGCCCAAAGTGCTACTCTTGCAAGCCACACTTCGAGGAGAATGGAGATGTTTATTTCTCTCGCTCCTTTATAAAAGGTGGTCAGTCATGAGTTCAACTGCTGTGCTTCAGTCAGTTGACCAAACCCTATGCTTTAAACTACAGGAAGGGACTATCACCTGCAATAGATGAGCATGCGACTTGACGGAAGTTACAGGGTAGCACGGTTCATGCTACTTTTGATAAAAGATAGTCAAAGGTTGTGTCACCTCAAAGGCCTTGAAAAATATATTTTCTTAATGGATTTTTGTATCTCCATCATATGACACTTGGTTTTTTTAATTAATTCTATTTTATGTATCATTTTTTTCCTGTGAAAATAAGCTGTTTTTCTCACATGCGAACAGCTTGCACCTCACTTTATCATGCACGAGGGAATGGCAAATAAGAATGTTCGAGCACACTGCCAAAAATGAATGTAACTATTTTCTAAACACTTTAATAGGGTAACATTTCAGTGTAAAGTACATAATTTATTTTTACAGAAAAAATATTATTTTGTTTTCATCAAAAGTTATGCAAATGACTTGATTATTTTATTTTTATTTTGTGCATACCATTAGAAGAATTTTATTTCATTTCTTCAAGATTACTAGGCACTGTAATACTATAAATTACTGTAATACTGTGTGAATTCATAGAATATAAAAAGAAAATGACTCAGAAAAAATTATAATCATCATTGTTTAATCGTTATTTTGAATGTAATAAGATGAATATATTCCTTACAAATTACTTGGAAATTCAGTGTTTGTGTAGAGTTGAGACAATTTTTATTATTTCTATCATAAACTATTTATGTACCTTAATTATTAAAATGATTTATTTTATGGCATTAGCAAATTTGGTGTGGCTTTTCTGATCTAACTTTTAGATAAAATTATATTATTCATGTTAAAAAACAAAAATCTTTACAAATGGGCAATGGAAGGTATGGTTTGCTAACAACCAAAGTAATATAATGTAACTTTACATATAACAGATGTTTCCTCTTGGCTACCACATGAAGAAAGATGTTCACTTATTAATAAATAACATTTGTAATGACCGTACTCTTATATAAAGTGGACACTGTGGGGAGATACAGAGAAATGCAAGCTATGGATCATGCCTGTAGTTGTTAATGTAGTTTGGAACTCACACATGCAAACATCATGAGGAGGATTAGAGGATGATCTGTAATGAAGTTTATCATGGGTCATCGATGAGCATAGACTGATGTGGTTTCTGTAGGCTCTAGAGTTTTCTTTGAATTGCCTCCTCCTAATATGGAAGACTCTAAGCCTTGTAGTTTACACTTGAAATGTCACAGATAGCTAGAACTGGTATCTGTGAAGTTACAACTGTCATAAAAATGTGCATAGTGCTATGGCAAGACACCATTAAATACATTTATATCAGAACTCAAAGGACTGCCCCTCACAGTTTATGGAAATGTATGAAAGAATCTGTATACTAGTACAGAAATTACTAACTAAAATGGACAAAAAGATTAAAAGTTTTTTTAATTTTAATATTTCATTTTTAGAACATATAGCTCCATTTTATTACAATGTAAATTAATATTTCCTGACGTTTGTGTTTTCTTGACCATATCTTTTATTTATTTTTTAATAATTGTTAATGTTTATTAAATTATTACTCCATGCAAGTAATTGTTCCTAGAACTTTACCTAAATTAACTCATAAACCTGCACCTCAGCCCTCTGAATTGGCAGATAGTATTGTTAGGCCTACTTTACAGATGAGCCCTTGATACAATGCAATGAAAGTGACCCTGCGTGGTCTTCCTCCCAGAGGATCTATAGAGTGTGTCTTTTAAATGAGTCTTAAAATCTAAAGTGTTTTATCAGTGTTTTCCTTTTTTGGTGGCACATAAAATAGTGAAATAGATGATATCTAATAAATTTGAAGAAATAGAGTTACTGTTACACCAAAAAAGATTTCTGAGGAAAAATAAGTTTAGGAAATACTGGATTAAACAAAGTTAAAGGGGTCACTTTAATGCGGACTTTCTTACAATTTTAAAATCCTACTTTGCCTTACAACTCTCTAACAGAAGGACAATTTTATACAATATTCTCTAATTTATTTCATCATAAAACCCTTTTTAGTGCATTGCACAGGACTAGTGTTCTGAGCAACAGACTTTGAAAATGGCTTGTGTAAATAGAATCTTCTAGAAGTTCCTAGCAAGACCAAAAACGGAACAAAGAGGCAAATTAAGATTATGAAAATTAACCCACACTGGACCCCAGTAGGTGTTACTTATCAGGATGTGAGTTTAAGTTTGCTGTAAATGACCATAGCTTTCTCAATGAAAATACATTAGCCCACAGCTTTCTTCCTGGAAATGGCTTCGTGGATATCCATTACTGTTTTAAAGAGAGTACCTGCCACCTGCACAGGGCTCTGAGTAGGCTGTGATTTAAGAGAAGTCTCAGTGTCTTGCCCTTAAGAAACTAAGATCTAATGTAATAGTCATACATACATAATAAATGAAAATATTTCCGAAGTGCTGTCAGCAAATCACTGTGTATTTCAAGATGGCCAGGAAGGAGAACACTACATCTGTGACTCTTATTTCCTAATCACTAAAGCTGTGTTAATATTGTGCACTTATTCTCAGGTGTCATTCTCTTAAACTATGTTCCTCAAGATGCATTTCTAGGCTGGCTGTGGGCTCTTTCAAGTGTAAATTGCACTTCTTTTGATCTCCAATCTTCTTTTTAGGATCACAAAGGAAACTCCCACTAGCTCTCTCAGAAAATAATTTGTAAGTAGATAACAAAGGAAACTCCCACTGACTTTGTCAAAAAATAATTTGTAAATATGGCTATGTGTCTGGAATGAAAAAGGATATAAAAAAAAATTTTTTTAATAATAACAACCACCAAAAAAAAACATTTGTAGTGCCTTTCAACCAGTGACAACATGTACCTCAGGTGTGTCAAGTCTAACTAAAAGGACTTGTTTCATCTGTATTACATACTCTTTCCTCACTTTTCTAAAAATTCAGTGAATATTAACAGTTTTCATGACCAGGTCCCTTTTAAAAATCTTAATGATAGAGGGGAAACTGTGTCATTGACAGTGGAATAGTCAAACAGTTGATACATTTTAATATTTGATTTTCTAAGACATAAGAATTTGGCCTCAGACTTAGCTTCCTAACCGTTTTCTTCACAGCATTCTTGAACACACAAATTGTGAATTTACTGGTAGCCGTCAAAATGTGTGTTGTTGGCAGGAAAAAGCTGCCTTGCCAAAAGCAGCAAAATTCATCTGCGGTAAGCTAATAGCTACATTGTTTCCTCAGGGAAAATTACTTCATAAAATTCATTCATTCATTCAATTAATATTTACTAAATCTTATTATTTGTCAAGCTAATACGTGCTTGGGACACATCAGTGAACAAACTGGATAAAAAGTCTTACCCTTGTGCAGGTTACCTTCTGGACAAGTGAACACAAAAAGTAATATTATGTACAAGTTATGTACTATTTATTTATTTTTTTTATTTTTTTTAATTTTTTTTCCTTTTTGTCTTTTTTCGTGTCCGGCAACGGATCGCAACCCTCAGTGTCGCGCCCGTACCGGACTGGGACCAGCAACGGGATCGCAACCCTCGGTGTTGCTCCCACACCTCGCTCAGCCAGTGAGCAGGAACCGGTCTGTATGTGGGATCCAAACCCTCGGCGGGAGCGCCACTGCACTCCCAAGCGGCGCACTATAGCAGTGCGCCACCGGGCCGGCCCGTGTACTATTTAAAGTAATGTGACAAAGCGGGGGTACCACTCAACACTGAGTTTATCCATCCACTCATTCAACATTTAAGTGCCACACATAATGATGTGTGTGAGTGTGATGACAAGCAGCACCAGGCAGGGTCCCTGCCCTCAGGTAGTGTACATTCTCCTAGAAGGTTCAGCTACGAGTCGAATCATGAGACACCTCCTCTCTCCCACCTCCCACCACTACTACCGTTCTCTCTTGATCTTTCTCCATAACATTTACCACGATTTAATATATTTCCTGTTTCACTCACATATTTGACTATACCTTATTGTCTGTCTCCTCTCACTAGAATATAAGCTTCTTAAGAAAAGTGATTTATGTTAATCTTATTTACATCTGTATTGCCAGTATATAAAACAATGCCAGGTTCATAGTTAGCACTCAATGTATTTTTGGGGGTGAATCAGTAAGATGATAACATATATACATATGTTCACCTACATTTACTTGGCTTTCCACTTGCAGAGGCCCAAAAAGCAATACCCCAAAGTGAAGGTCTCGAAGCAAAAGCAAAGTTATCTTCTGACCTCCTGCCCTCATGTCTCTCAGCCTCATTCTCCCCTGAGGCAAGCCACAGAAACTAGAATTCCTCTTCTCCAAGGTGGGTCATAGGCATACTCTAATCTCCGCTCCACCCCCTCCTCCCCGTCCTGGAGCTGGCCATGAAGAAATTCCCTGACCTACCTTGTCTGATTGTAGTCATAAGACCTCCATTCCAGAAAAGGTCCTGCCCCATACCCTGGAGGAAGGAATGCTACATGGTACACAGACAGGCCAAGAAGTATCTGAACAGACAGGCTTTGCTGGGCTTCCCCACCCAGTCTATGAGCATTAGATCATACTTTTCTTGTCCAATCAGATTTCTACACAGCTGCGCCTGCTTCCAAAGAACGTAAGCATAAATGTGGAAAATTTTCCCTATATCTTTGGGTCTTCATTTCTGAAGGCTCTCAAGTCACGTAAAACAATGATAAGATAAAATTTGTCATGCCTTTTCTTCATATTAGTCTATGTTTAATCAGATGACTTTTCAGAGAACTTTGAGGAGGTTGAAACAGATGTCTTCCCTTGGTCCCTACACATTTTTCATTTCTTGTATAGGGATTTCACTGTTGAAAAATAGAACTATCATTTCTGATACTTTTCCTCATAATAACAGCAATGATGTGAAATGCAGAAGTCACACAAAATTGAGAGCAAAATTTATCTATATCATCTTTATTACAAGATAGAGCATGATTGTTCTAACACTACTTTGAAAATTACAGAATACATTAGCTTAAATGAGAGTTTCCAGAAAGGAGAGATAGGGGCTTAAATTGTGAGTAATTTTCTGTAGCAAGTCGTGAAAGGGAAACATATACAGTAATCAGCAAATAACATCTATGTCTTCATAGAATTATGAAGCCAAATGGACTACCCCGCACATCCTTGGGTATTTTATTACAATGTTTGCCAATTTGGCAGAGCAGGAATTCTCCTTTTTTAAAGGTATATTTGATTGATTCATTGGTTAGATAAGGCATTATTTAAAGTATGACACCAAAACATTACAACTTTATATCTACGGTTTGAAATATTCTTACTTTAAAATTTTCTACAATACTACAACATTCTTTATCAGGTGGCTTATGCAATTTTAGATAAAATCAATCCCAATAATTGAAAAGGAAAAAGAAAATAACAGGCTCATTAGAAACGTCTGCACATTCACTCTTTGCAGAAATTCTTTGGCTGATAATTACCAGTGGAGAGCATCTTATGTCATGAATCAAATAAAAGTAAAATTGTTTTTCAGAATAAAAAGCCAAAAACAATTTTCAATATGACTTACATCATATTAATTACTTCAGAAACAATGCTTTAGGAATTAAAGTTTCTTCAGCCTTTAGATTTGTGAATGGGAATACCTTCAATTAATCTTCTAAATCCTAAACAACTATGAGAAAGAATTTTTTTTTATAACCAAGGTTTTTAAAAAACCACCTTGATTATATTTAGTATCTGAAAGTACATTTTTTCATGTTGTCATCAGAAGAATTTCCCAAGACTCCCTTTTAGAGTCACCCTGTCAATAAAAAATAGAGCGTTAAGTCATTAAGGTCCCACTAACACTCTTCTATTTT